TTTAGAAGATCTCTCGCATAAACATTTCGAGTATTTGCGAAATTTTAAAATTTCAACCGAGGAATCGAATTTTTGACCAGAGTCGAAAGCATCATTTTTNTGTATGTAAAAAGTGACCAATTTGATTCAATTCATTAAATACAAATCAAACGAGTGTCAATTTATTCGCGCCGAAAAAGAGCCATTTAATGTATCAGGAAAAATAAAGAAAATCCAAAATAAAAATTTAGAAGATCTCTCGCATAAACATTTCGAGTATTTGCGAAATTTTAAAATTTCAACCGAGGAATCGAATTTTTGACCAGAGTCGAAAGCATCATTTTTTCTACACTCACAAAAATATTTGTGTTTTAGTGTTACTTTTGGTCAATATATGTAGGAAGTAAACCCTGTAGTGTTGATTTTAGTACAGTTTTTGGTGAATTTTGCGCAGATAAAAATAGAAGGACTTGAAAATTGGAACGGAGACTTGGATTATTTTGTGTTTTACCTTTCGTATTAATCAAACTTTTGTCAAATTTTGAAACTTTTGTAAAACTTATTCTTACCGATTTTTCTATATCCATCTATCTAGAAAAATCGGTAAGAAAAAGTTTTACAAAAATTTCAAAATTTGATAAAGTATGGCCGATAAAGTTAACAACAGAAGTGATCAAACTTTGGTGTTGAGTTTTCTCTCTATGTGAGAATTTAAGCACCTTATAACCCCAAGATTCTGTGACAGAGTTGCACTTGTGCCTCGTGAAGATGTTATAATCGTTAAGATGTGATAAAATTGTGTTCTGCTACGATAGAAAAGTTGAAAGCTTTCAACAACCCTCAACATTTCAGTCTTACAATCAGTAAACATGTTACTCTTGAGATAAGAGAACTTTTAATATGGAATCGCACCAAATAATCATTTCAAGGATGCTGAAACCGTAAAATTGTACCTATAACAGTAGAGTTGAACGCATGTAACCAAATTCAGCCTAACTATACTTCCGTGTTAAGGAAGAATGCCGTATGAACATCCGGGGGTTGCCAAATTTCCGTCGATAAAATGTTTATTTTTAAGGAAAGTAATGAATACTTTTCTTTGAAATTTTCAGGAGCTTTAGGTGAAATTGCAAACGAAATTATCTGAACAGTTGGGAGGAAAATGTTCCTAAGTTTACAAGGAAATTTTCGTTTTATCGGAATAAATTTGGCAACGCCTGAAGGTTCATACGGCGTTTTTCCTTAGCGCGACAGAGTAGACGTTGCCTCATTTCCTTTCATATTTTACTCTTTAACAGAAAATTATTCAACATTTTGACTCGACATTTCGTTACCGTGATACCGTATCTGTTCTTGCAGGCTTCCAAATTATCATAGTCGAAGTATCATGCCACGTCTCGCATGCTTCCTAATCGTATTCCTCGCCCTCGCAACATTCGGACGAGGGATGCCAGCGCAGACCGTGAAGGTCAAGGAGACAACCACAATCTATTCGAATACAGCTCCTGGTACTGCTGTAGTTCCTGTTGCTGCTGTTGCTCCTGTACCATATCAGACGGGACCCAATCAGCAGGTGTACCAACAACAGCAGTACTACCAACAGCAACAGACAACGCCCGTGACAGTCGTGACTACAGGAAAATAAGAGTGGCAATAACACTTTTCGTATGCTGTCGTGCAAAGAAAGAACGCCGTATGAACGTTCGAGAGTTGCCAAATTTCCCTTGATAAAATATGTATTTTTGACAACATTCACGCATATTTCTCATTGAAATTTTCAGATATTTTACATGAAATTGCGTAAAAAATTGTCTGAAAGTTTTGGAAAGTAATATTCGCAATATTCCCGGTAAATTTTGTTTTTATCGGAGGAAACTTGGCAACATCTGAAGGCTCATACTGCGTTCCTCCTTAGCACGGCAGTATGGCGCTTTAACACAGCATGACTTATCACTTCGTGTCGTGTATTTTGAGCTAGAACACCTTTGTAGGGAGAGTAATGCTATCTCAATCATTTAATGTAAGAAAAACTGTGGCGCTTTCTGGTTGATCTGCGAAAATTTAGGCTTTTGTGGAGAACTTGGGAGCCAATGCAGGCGATCATGATGACCACAAAATTCAAGACACGATACAAATATTTTAATTTCAAGCTTCTAAAGTGAGGTGCAAGTATTAAACATTGATTCATATTTATGCCGAGTATCATATTTTTTTGAAAGTATCATTGATTTTTTCTCGGAGAAAAAAAAAAACTTAAAAGTATATCTACCTCGGGTTTGTTGATGTTTGGATCGCAAAGCCCTATAGATGCTTAAAAATGGAAAATCAATCAGAGATTAAGACCAAGAAGTCGAAACTTTTCCTCTATCGGTTTTCTATCCTGAGCCGTGAAGCAGTGAATAAAAAAATGAACGAATTGTGCAAATTTGTGTTCTTTTTTCTTCCTGTTTTTAAACAAATCGTGTTAATTTTTTCAGGTGTGTAAATAGTCTATGATGTTGAGGCAGCTTGTAAAAATAAAATTATTCTATCACTTCTACTGCTGCTATTTCACACGGAAAAAATAGGACGATCGACACAACCAGCGGCTGGTTGTGTCGACTGCCTTATTTTTTCCGTGTATCTTTCATAAGTTGACCCATTACACCTTATCAAATAATACACATGAACAACGTATTGGAAAAACAATTGTACTTCGCAAAAAAACTCATTTTTTGCTCAAATTATATCTTATTATGTTTGCTATGTCCATAAACCACGAAAAACACCGGAGGGGGGGAGGGAGGGAGTGGAGATGTCGAGGGTATGTGTCCCTACAGCCCTACTTTGCCGTGCCAAGGAAACACACCGTATGGGCCTTCAGACGTTGCCATTTTCCTTCGATAAAAACCTAGTTTACTGAGAAAATGTCAAATATCTTTTTTCAAACATATTAGACAATTTTTTCGCAATTTAATCTAAAACAACCGAACATATCAAGGAAAAATATGTATAAATTTTGTCTGAAACAAGATAGAGAAATGGTGCTGGGTCCATACCATTTCGTGGGGTCAACAAAGCCAAGAAGTTATTGTTTTTTTCTCATTCGTCTGAAATACATATTTTTTCAAGGGAAATGTCGAATGTTCATACGGCGTTCTTCCTTAGCAGGGCAGTACAGGAATGCTTAGAGACTCTTTAGCGGGCATGCCAGGAATGACTGGGGCACACAAAACCTCTTACAATTTTTGTTTTATCTTTATGTTTTCTATAATGCCTGAACTAGATGTGCTCAACGTAATTTTCGTGCGATTTAGCTAACCAAGACTGCACTTGGTCCGCCTTACCTCTAGTGCGCAACAGACCCATCCCAAGTCAAATAATCGTTAAATACGGAGTAATTGGTGCAAAAATAGCACTTAGAAGCGCGCCTCGGTAATTTCGCTCATCAGCATATCGCTCCGATTAGTGCTTTGCGAGATATCGATTAATCTGCCATTTAAACCTATGGAAAAGGATCGATAGGCAGTGTTCTCAGCGGATACCTTAATAATCGATTCTTTTCCACGGCTTCAAATGAGGAGATATCGATAGTCGATCATTCACGCCACGCCTCTGGCTCCGATCGTCTGAGAGGCGGGCACTCGGAAGCTCTCTACTTTCCGGCGCACAAAGGATCGAGTCAGTTGGAGAGGTCGGACAAAATTTGACAACTTTACAAGCTTATAACTCCGCTCATACAGAACATTAGGGTTCTGAAAATGGTTCCACTGGTTTCCTCGTGAACTTTTCTACCAGAAGCACCCTTTACTATAATGAAAATGTGACGAAATAAACATCAAAATTTGCAGTTTTAGTAAAAATTGATTGTCCGACCTTTCTGATTGACTCGATCCACTGTGCGGCGATTCCAGAGTAATGCATTCCGCTTTGCTTCCGGTCCGCCTAGGTCTTGGTGTGCCGCGTTTTTTCCCCATCCGCGCCTTTGGCGTGGTGTGCTTTGCGATATATCGATTGATCTGTAACTTAAACCCATGGAAAAAATCGATAAACAAAGTGTTTGCGACGAACACTTTAATAATCGATTCTTTACAACAGCTTCAAATAGGGATATATCGATAATCGATCATTCACGCCACGCCACTGCATCCGCCCCTTTGGCATGGTGTGCTTTGCGATATATAGATTGATCTGTCATTTAAACCCATGGAAAAAATCGATAAACAGGCTGTTTGCAACGAACACTTTAATAATCGATTCTTTACCACAGTTTCAAATAGGGATGTATCGATAATCGATCCACTGATTCGCGCCCGCCGCGTGAAGGGACAATCCGAAGATCCTTTGTATTTTTTCGGCTTCGAGCTTTGTTCGGCGTCTTGACACGTTTTTCTGCCGTGCTAAGGAAGAAACTCGTATGAAAATTTCGATGTCGCTAAATTTACCCCTACAATACATTAATTGTCGAGAAAATGTATGAATGTTATTCCTTGGAATTTTCAAATACTGTAGATTAAATTGCAAATAAAATTATTTGAAAAGTCGGTAGATAAAAATACACAAATCTCCCTGCAAATTCTTATTTCATCGGAGAAAATTTGGCAACGTCTGAAGGCTCATGCGGCGTTTTTCCAACAAGGCAGCTATGACGTTGGGTTCCTCGAGACAGCTTAATAATTACGAGCACTCGAGTTGACCGTGTTTTTGTCGTTGCTTAAAAATTCAACACACTTTAAGTGTCGGGTCGTTGTCGCCTCTCGGCCTCTAAGTTCTGTCTCCGTCTCCAGAGAAAAAATAAATAAATGTTGCGGAGTCAGGAAGAGCCGCCGTTTTACAGTCGAATGAGCGTAACTCTATTTCAAATTTGCAAAGTTGGACGTCTTTCTATAAAAAAGAACTATTTTTATTGTGGCGAAGACTCGAAGGTCCATAAAAACACATGAATGACATAGCCCTGCATCGAGGAAAATTTTTAAGTTAACATTTCCTGGACAATCATTCTCTTTGGGTCAGTTCGTGAAAGATAGCGAAAAATCACCAACCTTCTTATCGTGCGTTCCATTTCCTTCCGTTGCCATGGTTACGTCCGGAGACTCAGCTGATTGACCTGTTAACAGAAAGAAAACATGCTCGATTAGCAAAAGTTTATTCTCAAGTTTAACGAGCAAGTAGTAGCCGCGCGCTTGAGGTATATCTGTATGTTACATGTTACACGTTCCAAGTTTTCTGTGCAAAAGTAGTCTGTGCACAGAGGAAACCAGGACAATGAATTCCTTAATTTTAGGTACATGCGTATAAACATTCGCAAACCGAGAATGGCTGCGTACAGAGTCTTCAGAGTTCTATCGCTTCCCGGTTTTATAATTTTTAACAAAAATGGCTGGCTTGTATTTGAGGAGTTGACCGTCAAAAATGTTTGCCCCTAAAAATATTGATGTGAAACTAAAACGTGAAGTGCAGGATGTCACCTCGAGAAACTACCATAAAAGCAAATCGAGTCATGATCGTGTATTTTCACCGTGTATCTGTTGGTCCAGCAAGGGAAAGGACGCGCGTTGATGACGGCGCAGAGATACGACTATTCGTGCTTGACAGAAGTCCGTGTTGCATCTGCAAAATTGAAGGCGCGATGGAGTGAGGCGTGAATGAAAAACGCCGTATGAGCCTTCAGACGTTGCCATTTTTTTCAATGAAAAACAAATTCACTGGGAAAATTCTGAATATTATTCCTACAATTTTCAGGAAATTTTTTCTCGATTCAATATAAAATATCTGAAAATTCCATATATTAATAAAATTGAACTATATAAAATCAAAGTCAACGGACACAGTTTTAATTACGGTTACCTGACATAATGAAAGAAATAAATGTTCATTTTACATTGACTTTCATTTGATACAGCTCAATAAAGTAAACAACGCATCACATGATTATTTACATTCAGTTTTCAAAGAAAGTGATGGGTTACATTTAATGTAAGACTTCATTTGATAAAACAATGTGTATCTTGTATTAGTATGAAACTCTTGCATCGATTGGAAGATGAGAGCTGCCAGCAATAAAATGCGTTGTACCATAAACTCCTTTTGACCTTCGTCTACCAATACTCAGTTGCTTCCAGCAAGGGACGTCGTTTCATACTTCAAGCGGCCTTATTATTATTGAGGCATTTTTAGTTTAAGCAGGTCAAATGGTCCATCCAAGTGATGCGTCGGTGTTGCAGGTTTTTGAGGCATCGTAATTTTCAATAGAAACCAATGAAATACGCCGATATGCAAGTACAATTGGGCAAATTGGCAACTCGGCTCTATGATATACGCAAGGTCGTTCGAATTTTATGTCACCTTAGAATGCCGAATGAATGGAAATTATGCTCGAATGCCTCGTTTCAAAGTCGAACTTTGGCGAAGGACAGCTAACACAATTGAAATTCACAATGTGAACTACGAATTATTCCCAACAAAGAAGATACGATTCGTTTCAATGTTATAGCGTAAAGATCTACATCGGATCACAAAATTTAATACTTCTAAAAACGGCGAATAAATATACATATTTATATTACATTTTGGAGTAAATTTACTGAAGTCACAGATGGTGAATAACGCGTGATGAGTAATTGAGATTTATGGCAATGACCTGAGCTTTTCACGGTGCGCTAGGTGTTTCTTACACAGAAGTGCCAGCCAGCGGGCAGCGTGAAACGCGCATTGGCGCCTACAAACCTAACAGGGATACTTCACGCGTTGCGCAATGCGTGAAGTATCCCTGTTAGGTTTGTAGGCGCCAGTGCGTCGCCGCTCCGCTTTGAGTAAGACTCTAATATTTAATCTGTCAGCGTTTTTCATCTCATGATTTTGAAATGTTTGCACGCTCTGTATGGATTATTTTCATTTTAATTGATTAAAAAAATGTGTATTAAAGGAAAATATAACGTGTGTTTTGTAAATATTAAGGTGTTTCCGTATCAAACTTAATGATTTTCAAAGCACACGAATTTCTGCACAATTTCTTATAGCCTTTCATAGCAGATGACGATAAGGTGTATAATCCAGCGATAGGAACTATCGCCCACCTTCATAATTTTTTATCGCTTCGTAGAGCCCGGCCGTATGATTTTCTCCGCATTCTACAGCCAGCTATATGATTTTCTGTAGCCTTTTTTAGCCGGCTATAATAATTCTTATAGTATTTTGAAACGCAGCTCCTATCGCCAATTTTTACCAGGGCAGCTATTGCTTTTAACTGGGCAATTTAATTTTTTATAAGGGAACTTTTATGCGAATCCGTTTAAAAAATTTAAGGAGTTTGCATCGCGCACGGCCGTTTTCATGTAAAAAAATAAATCGCCCAATTAAATCTGGCAATAGCTGATGTGCGACTTGGTTTCTTTCTGCCCAACGCGAGCCAATTTTAATGTATTCATGTCCTAGGTCGTTTCCTTCAATCATGTCGTGTCGCATTCAGGGATTTATGAATGATCTGGAGCAGTTCCTCGAGATTAGTGGAAAAACTTCGAAGCCTGGATATCAAAAGTCTGAATTTCGTGGTAAAAGAAACTAATTTATTAAATATCAAACAGAATGCACCCTGTCTGGGAGTGAATTTCTTCTACTTTTAGATGACCTTCTTAAAAACCCATCCTTGCAACTCCAACCTACCCATTCAGCATGATACGTAGAAGGTTGGCGCTAAACGCATCCGTCTCAAAAATGCTTTCCTCAAAGGCGAGCACGGGAACTTCATTCCAGAATTACTCTCACACAGTGCCGTAATACGAGTGTTTCTCGGGGGTTTCGTTGTCACATTCGTGTCAAAATCAACATTTTTATTCACTGCGGTACCCTTACTATGTGAATTTTATTCCCAATCCAACAACCTCACCGCTGAAGGGTTGCCGCATAGGGCAATAAACCACAAATCTTTGCCCCTTTAACTGAAGGGCGTAACTCCTCTTCGCTATGAGTCTTGTCATTCATATACCTCAATTCTCTCCAAGGTCCATCTAAATGAGTACTTATGCCGTTTTGTCGGCCGAACAATGGATTCTTCGCATTTTAAGTAGGCGAATTTTTCCAAAACTAGCGCAACCCTGCCGAGTGCATTCCACTCGAATGCACTCCCACAGCGTCACGAGAAGTAAGCTCATCCGCTGACGAAACCGCGCAAATGCACTTTCAGACGTCCGTTGAGTTCCATGCTTCCCAGGTCCCACCCGAGGACGAGATACGTCTTTTTGGCCGACGGAACGACGAAAAAAGAGCGTTTGAGGTCATCATCAAAGCTTGCACTTACTTTATCTCGACTACACTTCGCGCCACTATCATTTAGCCGCCTTCGTCTGTTTGCCGACGATGTGGAAATTAAATTTCCAGACCTCGTATTGTTCTCTCGAGGGTCGGGTGGATTTAATCTCGCTTTGTAGCTGCTCCTCTTCGAGTTAATCACGGCCGCGACCCAAGATAAAGTTCCTTAAGTTTGGCACGGAACGAGCTCCCTCATCAGTAACCGTTTCGCTGGGATCTTTTGGAATCGTCGTGTGCGGGTAAACGATGGGTAATTGACGCTCTTTGTGGCAAGATCGTCGATGGTGTAGTTTCAACTGAACCTTAGAGGAACCGAGGGGGTGAGGAGGAGGAGGAGGAGGAGGAGAGGGTGGGGGCAAAAGTTGATAGGACACAAAAGTCGTTAGAGAACGAGTGAACATGTATTTGCTTAACCCTCCATGGCATGAATTAATTTTTTATCTCAGATTCCAAGGGACACTAACCTATTTTGAAGCTCGCTCAAAAAACCATAGAGTACCAATTTTGTTTTCATAATTTCAAATTTTTGGAAATCATTTTACCAAAAAAGGAGAAATGAATGAAAATTTCAAAATCATGGCGCAGAGAAAATATTCAATTTTTAAATTCCCCCCCCCCCTCAAGTTGTTACGAAGTCGTAACGTTATGCCATGAAAGGTTAAAGTGTTCATACTGGTTCAGGGTACACCCCCATGAAATAGGCAGCAATTAACTTACTTGCATTGTTGCAGATTGAGGTACAAATCACTTCAACCTCGGTGAAGAGAAAAGGTGGAACTGCGCACGCATAAAAGTGTCATTAGCGGTAATCGTGATTTTCTGGTATCGAGACGAGGCGAAACTGGCAAAGGCGCTCTGAGCAACTATTCCGCCTCGGAAGTGTTGCACAGTATCAGACGAAAATGAAGGCGCACGAACGTACGTAAATTGACTGGTATCGTTTTCCACAATGCAGACTCAGAGATCGGAAACCCGTGATTCTATAGTCTCGTGAAATAACGAAGTTTTTTGATTCTTTGAAGACTAACCTCATGCATGGATAAAAAAACTCTCCCTCATATGACGCAAAATTTCATGGTCCGGGTACCTCTAGTTCTCAATTGTAGGAAATGGACTCCAGGTAACTAAAATCTTTGTTTGCAGTACTAGGATTCGTAAATTTTTTACCCAAGACATACCAAAGGAACCGAGGTCAGCTTCTTTTGGTAAGTTTCTGGTGACAAAAGGATCATTTGAGCCAATGTTCAATCCTTGCAACCTTTTTTTTTTCTCTTCATGTGTTATTTTTAAAACAACTTCATCCCACGTCCCAAAATGCGCAGATATTCTGGAAAAAAATAACAGTCACAATCGTAAGAACAGAAGCAAGAAAAACCTCTGAAAAGGGGCAGGGAGAAGAAGGTGAGGTTTAAAATAGAGGTCCCGAGGAAAAATACCGCATGAACATTTAAGCGTTGCCAAATCTGCTCCGATAAAATATATAATTTCGAAAAAAATATACAAATATTTAGACTCGAAACTTTCAGGCACACTAGAAAACATTGCTGATAAAATTCTCCGAAAATTTCAATGAAAATCATCCGTATGTCTCTCGGAAAATTCATGTTTTCTGGGAATAAATTTGGCAACATGGGGATGCTCTTACGACGTTTTTCCCGGCCCGGTAGCACGTTGATGAAACCCGACGCAAGATGAGCTCTCGGTGCCGTGCCACCTGTCACTCGCTAATTCTCGCGTGTGCCGCGGCGCCGACCAAAAACCGCGCTCACGCACGGCGCTCCCGAGGGCGTTGCGCGGTTT